ATTATGTGCTAAAATTGGTGAAAAATACAATCCCATCGCGTAAAATATGTACCGTACATCGCTAGATTGGCCGGTATCATTATTGACCCTTTACTTGTTGCTTTAGTGTTAGTGTACATAGACGCAACATCAAAACTTACCAGCAAATCGTCACTTTCTATCTCCTGATCGTCGACCAAGTCATCCAATTCATAGCAAATCTTGACTTGAATCCTCCACATCTCGGAGATTTGCTTCAACTGGTTACAAATAAATCGTAATGTTTTATGCATCACAATAATTCTAAATGCAGCTCCATCTTTATGCATTCTGGACAGACCATATGCATTCGTTCAAGAAGCGTGTTCATCTTCCACTTCTCTGGTTCCCCGTTTGTCGCACAATGCTGCAGCCAACCCCTGCGTTTAGGGTTTCCGCATAGTCTCTACTCATTACTTTGCATGTGGCAGTGTCATGCGAAATGGGCATCACATTTTATACAGAACTCAACCAACCCATGACTACCACTGCTCCTCCTTTGTCTGCCGTCAACACCATTTCGTCCTCATCTTCCAGTTTCCCTATCCTGTTTTTCACTCTTTTGTTCCTGGGCGTTATTTCTACATCGCCATCAATTAAAGGAACGACCTGTAACTCAATATCTCTCCCAGACTCTTCTGGAAGATGGTCGGTAAAACCTTTAGAAAAAACACTTTCTCGATGGTAAAGCGCAACTCTCCTTTGCTCACTACTGCCTCTCATAGACGTAGTTTGATTAGCCTTTGTCTTGATTCCTGTACCCAGATTTATAAGTTCCTGATCAAGTCTGAATGTAACCTGTTGAAAAACAATATCATAGAACCTTTTCGCCATTGTCTGTAATTTAGAGAAATCTTCCGAGCTAAGAGTGCTTGACAATGATTGGCCGAAATTGGTTTTCCTCCTTATCAACGAGTGTAATTTTGTAATGTTTTCTTGGGTCATAAGATAGAGTAAATCCTGAGACTCGCATTGATCTAGTTGGAAAATGGGGTCTATCAATGATACAAAGCATAGGAGCAAACCTACGTGAAAAAGATCACTTCGATTGGAAACCGAGTTTTTCTAAATATACTCAATTTTATACGAAGAAAAGTTGGGTTTCGAGGAATCTCTTGTTTCATAATTGTTGAGCTTACTTCCATTTCAGGTGAAAGATTTGGGTGAAGAGATTCGAAGTTCGGTTCCACCAGAAGACGACGGCCGATTCCTCTTGACCAGCTGTCGATTGGCTCTACTGAAAGATTCATGCTGACGCTGTTTCCGAGGCAATCTCCTTCGGTTCCGGTGAAAACGTGCTAACCAAACCACTTTATTCTTAATCAAAGAGGTCAGATGTAGAGTATGTGTACCACTTTTTAGGGATTTGCCGGTGAGTTTTCTTGACTCGTTAGCTTTAATTTAGTTGTGACGATGA